ATAAGCAGGTACTTAACAAAAAGGAGAAGGTAGCTGTGTCAAAAAGCCCAGCACCATGTCAAGTTACTGTTACTATATTTCTTTTACCCTGTAGCTGGTGAGAATTAAAATGCATGTTTTTCCCATATTGAGGGTACAGGTTCTCTGAGACCAGATTGTTTTGGCAAGTCACTGGGTAGGTTCTTGATGCAGTTCATGGAAGGAGGGACCAAGCAGGTTGACTAAATGCATGTCCTCAGGCTGGATCACTCTACCTCTAGGCAACTGCCACCCTTCTGCTTTGTCTCTTGGCCTCGGCTTTTTGGAATTTTACCTTTCATTGCCTCTCCTATATATATATTTTTTTTTAATTGAAGCTTGTTGACATTAATAGGGAGTTTCCATGTTCTGTTTCACAGGCATAATACTTGCCTGAGACTAACAGTTTTCCTTGATACCTGAGAATCTGGAGATCAGCTGAAACTTCCTTGTGTTTTATGGCTATGGCTAGTCCCTGGAGTTTTTCAAAAGATGGGTTGACATAGCACTTAGAGACATAGTTTAGTAATATGTGTGTGTGTGGAGTTTGTATGGTTTTCTTTAGGTTTTTTTATCAGAGTTAGGCTGATGGTTGGACTAGATGATCTTAAAAGGTCCCTTCCAACCCAGACAATTCTATGATTCTAGTTCTTCCTGCTGCTGAGTCTTACAGATAAAGTGGCAAGTTAAATTTTTATCTCTTTATCCATCTTCTAAGTTTTATCCGTTTATCCATCTTTTGCAGATAATAATGAAGACAGGAATTATGCATGCACAGGTACAGGGAAGGGAGAGACAGGCACGGTCAAATCATGCTATACAAACGTACCATCAAACTATACAAATGCATAGTTCTGGAATTAATTGTCAGGAGAAAGTGTTTTGGAACAGAGCTTTGGGATATAAATGGTGCTTAGGGTTATGAAGAGAAACACTGGGCATCTTCGATCTGTCGTGCAGTTACATGTAATTAATATCTAGTAAAAACTTTTTCATGGAATCGGGCTTAACTGGAGTAGTCTTTCTTGATCTGATAGCCAGGTTTTTGCAGTCAGTTCTTTCCTATCGTGGTTGGGTTGGAAGGCAATTTCTTCTCCTTTTCCACCACTTCCCAAGCCAGCAATAGTTCAAAGCAAAACCATGAAAATTGGCAGTTTACTGTCAGGGCAAGTTTGGGAAGGATTCCCTTTCTGCAAAAGGCTGTATCTGGTTTCTGGAGGTGGTGTTTTGATTCCTGCAGCTTGAGTCCTTTACAGACTTTCCAGGGAGCGTTGGAGAAGCTCTGGGACCTGGAATAAGGCAGTCACAAGGGTGGTTGTATGTTCAGGAGAGGAGCCTGAGTGTCCTGGTTTAAGCCCAGCAGCCCTACCCAGAAGGGTAGGGAGAAAAAGAGGGAAAAGGAAAGGAAAAACCAAACTACTAGTGGATTGAGATAAAGACATTTAATAAATGAATGATGAAAAAGGATAGAACCTGTTTAGAAAGGCCTGCAGTGACAGGACGAGGGGCAATGGCTTCAAGCTGGAGGGGAACAGATTTAGACTGGAGATGAGGAGAGGGTTCTTCACTGTGAGGGTGGTGGAGCACTGGAACAGGTTGCCCAGGGAGGTGGTTGAGGCCCCATCCCTGGAGATATTCAAGGAGAGGCTCGACGAGGCCCTGGGCAACCTGGTCTAGTTGGGGGTGTCCCTGCTGACTGCGGGGGGGTGGGACTAGATGGCCTTTGGAGGTCCCCTTTGGAGGCCTGGGCAATTCTATGATTCTATGATTCTATGATAATAATAGTAATAATGATAAAAGAATGTAGAAGATCAAGTAACACAACACAAGTTGCTCTCACCACCTGGTGGATGGGTTGCCCGGCCTGTCCTGAGCGGTGATTTTGGATTTACACCCAGGCCAGCCCCCGTTCATACACTGAACATGATGTCTGTGGTACAGAAATATTCCATGGCCTTTCCATTGCTCTGTTTCTGCTCCTTTTGAGCTGCTATGGGAAGCTGGGAAAAGTATAAACATCACGTAGTAACAATTAAAACAGTATGCATTATTGATACTCCCTTTGTACCAAATCTGAAACACACAAAAGCCACTAAACAGAAAGGCACTGATTGTCAGCTCGATTTGGGCACTCGTATCCACAATTTTGTGATCCAATACCTTCTATTGCTCACTGTAAAGGAAAATGTTCCATTCCAATGGAAGGTAGGAAAACATCTAGACCAATCTGTCGTCCCTTTTGAGTGCCTTAATCAGAAGGCTTCTAGAGCAGTGCTCCTGAATTTCAGTTCCTGCTGCTTTCTCTGCGTTTCCAGTTATTTTCAGCTGGGCGAGCTGCAAAAAGATCTTCCTGACTTCGCTGGTCTGAGACTTGCATTTTCATGCATTTCTGGTTTTCAGATTGTCTTCTGGCTGGGGGCAAGAAAGCAGGGCAGTGGCTGCTTGGGTCAGGTATCTCTACCTGGGGGAATTCTGTGTCCCTGGCTGTTTAAATGGAAGGACAGTTCTGACTCCAGAATCATTGGACTCGATTGCTGCTGGTCTGTAGGGGAAAATATCTTCTCATGTGTCTCCTGTCCTTCGCTAAGTATCATCTACTGGTCTCTGCTGCAGTAAAAGGATACTGCCATAGCTGAATCTTTGGTCTAACCTGGTGCAGCCTTTTTATGAGCTGATGTGGTAGTTTCTAAGCCATACAAGTGACTAATGTGTATCCCAGCTGCACTGAGTTATTTAAAAAGGAGGAATGTTTTTGGAGAAGAGGACTGCAACATCTTGAGACGTGCATTTTTTTTCTCTTCACCCAGACTCTCAAAGCATGATTCCTCCTTTGCCATCCTCTCTGTCCTCATCTTTCCCTTTCTTGGCTTGGAGCCTTTGTTTGGTCTGAGACTGTGATGATGTTTGACAAATCCTTGCCTGCTATGTCAACAGAAACAGCTCTTTCTGAGCTCAGGATGAGGTGGTAACTGGAAGGTGCTGTTCGTTTCCACCCTTTCATAGTGCTTCTAGTCATTGTTACCTGTCAATTGATGAAATCATAATATTTAGCTCTAAAATGCTTAGTTTGCTTTTCTGAAGTGCATTTTGTAATCCTTGGGGTTTCTTCTATGGTAAGAAATACTGATATGATCATGGAGGAAAAAAGCAAAATACTTTAGTATTTGCTTTGTAAACCTTTACTAGGTAAACCAGAATTGACGAGTTCTGGGTTGCGGAAAAATTATCTGTGTGCTGCTTCGTGGTCAGGCCTGACTAACAGGAGGCACTTGTTTTAACTGGTGTACAGCCCCATTCAATAGAGCCATAAACCTGGGACTTGAGGTGTTGATCAAATTGGACTTCTTCAGATCATGCAAGAGGAGCCCAGTGACCGTAGTGTCTTCTCTTGCAGCTGGAATCCCAAAGGGTTTACCCAAGTCTTTGGAGTGAGTGGGAAGCAGCTCATGATTGTAATATACCAAAGTATTTATTCTTTCCAAAGTGTTTTCATATAAATACATGTATCATAGAATCATAGAATGGGTTGGGTTGGGAGGGACCTAAAGACCATCTTGTTCCAACCCCCCTGCCATGGACAGGGACACCTTCCACCGGATGAGGTTGCTCAAAGCCTCATCCAGCCTGGCCTTGAACCCCTCCAGGGATGGAGCTGGTATCCAGCTAGTATACACAAGCTTCTATTTGTAACTGAAATAAAAGTAGTGTGTTAAATAAAAATGGAGAAGGCATCCGAATTCATGGCTAATATGTCTCTTTGTAATATTGAGCAAAAGTAATATATTTAGCGGGGAGTAGAGATTCAATGCAAGGTACAAGTTAGCTTCGAGGTTGTTTTTAGTTGGAAACTGGGAAAGCTTGCTTGCAGCTGATGGTTTCTTAAGTTAGTGAGGATACCATCTGGGGTAGGAAATTGCTTCCAACTTATTTATTCTCTAGATCAAAAGATAAATAACCTTCTCCTTTTCCTGGTGGGTTTATCGGAAGGGAAGCAATGGCTTGCAAAACCTTTCTTGCTTACGGACAACGTGGTGAGGTGTAACTTCTCACCTGTTATTTTCTCTAACATCAGGAATTTGTTGTAACACCAGAACTTCTTCAGTGCCATTTAAATGGTGTGGAGTTGCATCTGATCTGCTTGGTAGGAGCATTCTGTACATGGGACACATGGTTTTTCATCTGGTTTGCATGGTTTTGGAGAGGGTTAAATCACAATTTGGAGTAATGCTGCTTGGGTTTGCAATGGAAACACCATCACCCGTTTGCTTTCAGTTTCCTTCCTTTACAGAAGGAACAAAATGATAAATGTCTTTGGAGGTAGAAAAAAATGGAGCCTTTTTTCTATTTTATTTTTTTGGTGTGGAATTGTCAATGAGGATGGTGAGTGCAGCCATAAGGACTTCATTTCTGTTGGGAGCAATGATGAATTTAACTCGCTGGTTTTCTGGAAATCAATCTCCTTCTGCCCCTAAGTAACTTTATTTCATAGGAAGTGGCTCTGTGGTTTATTTCTCTCTATGTTGTGCTACTGAAAAACAGGGAGTTTCTAGAGTAAACAAATACTCTTCTTACCTGGACAGGTCTGGCGCTGGTAGTTGTAGTTTTTGACATTAAGTATGATGTGCAGCAAAAAAATAGCATGTTTTTAGAACAGACAAATATTTTTGTTTACCTGAGTGGAGGAATAACTGCTGATGGTGGCAATTGCAGGTGCTAGATTTAGCCTGATGAGCCATCCAGGGCTTTTCTTGTAGAGAAGAAATGTGTTGTGGTGGATGGGAAGCAGTTTCACTGCGTTCTGGTATTCTTGAATTTTTATATAATTTATCCAAGCTCCCAGTGTTTTTCACGTTGGACTGTCAGTCTTGTAAGGTTGAATGTGACTTTGTGTCTCGTGTCCCCAAAGTCTTGGCGTGAAATTCTGTGTGGCAGACCATTCGGTGTCACTGTACTGATTTTGTCAATGTTGTCCACTTTTACAGATGCCTTTGTAAATAGCCAGGAATGGACACTAAGCCGATCTGTACCAGAGCTGAAAGTGGTGAGTTTATATTTCTGAATTCTTTTTTATCTCTGAAAATGTTATGCACAAGTGAAAAGTATTGTATCTACTGCTGGGGAAAAAAAAATACAAAAAGCAATTCTAAGTAGTAAAGCATTCTTCTTCAACAAAACTATCTTTATGGGGTTCATGTATCTTCTATTTTTAAATCGTGCATCTATTTGCATTTTATTGCTGTTTCTACTTGTTTGGCTTCATGAGCCAGCTTCCTAGGGTGGTCTTCTGGGTAGGGAGGTCTTACACTTCTGTAAGAAAGAGCTTCTTTATCACTGTAGTAGTTTTTCACAATTCTTCAAGGACCAAATATCTTTTTCCACTCTCTCAGAAGAATTAAACTGAATTAATACGGAATAATAATAATAAAAAAATATATATTTTGAAGATTCATGTAGTGGACCAAAACCTACATTTTACTATAAGAACAAACAGTGATTTAATAGCTGCTTACAATAACTTTTCCCTTGGCTGAGCCATTTTCCCTATAGGTGGAAGAAAAGGCAAAAATAACAGAGAGAGAGTTTGGGGAATTTCCTGTATTTGTTGTTTGAAACGTTATGAACGTGGAGGCTGGAGATAAGAGCTAAAGCCTCCTCATAGAGGATACCAACATGACAGCTTGTCAAGCCACCAACACAGAGCTGTTGAGGCCATATCACTGTGATGTTTACCACATGGAAGTGTTTAATTAAACACAAATCACTCCTAGTGTTGTCCACTAGTGTTGCTCCTGTTGTCCAGCTGTAACAGGACAAGCTGCTCAGATCCAAGCACCCGTTTGCTGAGTGGCAGAGTGAATGGGACAAAGCCATCTGAGTTTAAGAGTGGGCAGCTGGGACCTTGCTTCACTGACCCATTTCTCATGTGCTAAATGGCTTTTTCCAAATCTGAGCTGGTAATAGTGTTTGGGGAGGAGAGAGAAAGCACAGGTCCCTTAACATAGACTCATAGAATGGTTAGAGTTGGAAGGGACCTTAAAGATCATCGAGTTCCAACCCCCCTCCCTGCTGGTCACTGGTCATTTATCAACATGATAAACACACTCATCACAGAAAGGTACTTTAATTGAAGCAGCTTCCTCAGGGCTGTAGTTATGTTTCTGTTTTGATTTCAGCAATGCACGAGGTAAGTAAAAGAGAAGTAGGACATTCAGTGGATGTCACTGTATTGGCATTTTAATTGAAGCAGCTTCCTCACAGCTGTAGTTATGTTTCTGTTTTGATTTCAGCAATGCAGAGGTAAGTAAAAGAGAAGTAGGACATTCAGTGGATGTCACTGTATAACACAAGAAGGGCCTGCAGAGAGTCACCAGGTTCAGTTCAAGTGATGACGTAATTTGGAAGACAGATATCTCTTAAAATAGCTCTCACAAGAAAATATGAAGAACATAGGACTGGAAGGTGGTGGTTGGATGCGAGTCCCATTCTCTGTGGTACTAGCCAGCTTATGGTGTGGAGGATCTGGAGAGTATTCCCTTGTCCATCCCTTCCCCTTCTCTTAGCCCTACCACTTCACAACTCCCAGCAATAAACTTAGGGCTTGCAGGTGGGACCAAAGCTGTAATTAATTATGAATTGTAACACAGAATGCAGACAATTGCAGAGCATTAGTTAATGGAGATATTCAAGGTGAGGCTCAATGAGGCCCTGGGCAACCTGGTCTAGTTGGGGGTGTCCCTGCTGACTGCAGGGAGGTCGGACTAGATGGCCTTTGGAGGTCCCTTCCGGCCTGGGCAATTCTATGATTCTATGAAAATATTGGTACGAGAAATGAAGACAAGTCAACACTTGAGGAATAACACAGCACTGGAGAAAGAGGTTCTCCTGAGCAGTTATATATTGTGCAGACCTGGGGCATTGCACAGAATCAAAGTGAGGTTTGACTCCAGCATCAAAGACCGTGAAGATACTGCATGCTGACTAAGAGGCAGTTGAATTTTAGCTTGCCAGGACTGAATCCATAAAGATAAGTCTAGCCTAATTATAGCCTTCTCGTTAAGGAGTTGGACCAAAAAGAACCAAAGTTTTATCTCCTCGCCTAAAATTTGCATTTCTCTGTGATTATCCCTTTTCTGCTGTAAGTCTTGTCCATTTGGTTCTTCTTACCTTCTGGGG